CTAGAGGGTCCACAAGCTAAAACATTGGCATGTATCGGACCATAACTTCATGGATTATGGCCTCTGAGTGTACGGGGTCATAATTTTCATCTCATTTTGATGATACTTGAAATACATGTTTATAACCAAAGGATCTTGGTTCCCTTCAATATTCGCGAATATCGGATCGTAACTGCCTGAATTGTGGTCCTTGGATGTACGAAAAAAATCGCGTTTTTGGCTTGTGGTCGCTCTAGAGGTCACAATTATTATCCGATTTAAATACCGTTCGAGTATATCACCTTTACGCTGTAATGTTGGCTGAGTTCGAATTTCGGGCCAAAACTGCCGGACAAATGGCCGCCCATGTACGCATATAGTGTAAACATATGGTTTATCAAGGTTGTGGATCCTCTAGAGGTCACAATTTTGATGAAACTTGAGATACATGTTTATAACCCAAAGATCTTGGTTCCTTTCGATATTCTCGCATTTTGGATTGTAACTTCCTGAATTATGGCCCTTGATTGTACGAAAAATCACGTTGGTCCCTCTAGAGGTCACCCGATTTAAAAAAAAAACACGTTCGAATATATCACCATTGCACCGTAATATTGGTTGAGTTCGAATTTCGTGAAAATCGGAACAAAACTGCCGGACAAAATGGCCGCCCCTCGTACGCAAATAGTGTAAACATATGGTTTATCTAGTCTCGGTCACCCAGAACCTCCTAGTCTTCAACGTACGGAGGGCCCGGGACTGTTGTCAATATTTGACGTAAGGTCCATTGTCCATGCGTGGTTTTTAATGTGGTTGATTATCCAGTATCTTTGGCCAAGTCAAGTAAGAGTTGCTCCCCTTCCCGCAATAAATCCCATATTTCTTGCAATAAAGGACCTAAGTCCGTAACTCAAAATCCTCCAAAATCTTCGACATCGAAAACACGAATTATTGGTCAATTTAAATCAACACTGATGATGTAAACTTACCGGGAAAAGATGAGCCACTGATATCCGATATTTAAGATAAAATAATTTTTTTAACATTGGTACACGAATCGTGTACCATAATGCGCTTCAGCCCCAGTTGTATTGAGAGACTCGAGGGACGAGGCTAGATACATTGCACCAAATCAAATGGAGTTATGTAGACTAGAATAACTAGACGCTAGAAATTTGCACTCGATTGAGATTGCTGACTTATTTCGCCGAACATAACTGATTTGAAATTGGAGTAAAAACGGAAACCATTAAATGTACTCAGTTTATATACATTCATATTACAGTATTATATGCGTTGCGACCCACTTTTGTGAATTTCTAGGTCCCAAATGTTAGCGATTTAGCTCCTTTAATATAAACAAACATGAATCGTGAGGACGAAATATGATTAATTTAAAAACATAGATATTGCCCATGAAGAGAGAAAATTTACAATAACAAAAATTAAGAGTGTTGGAAATTGGACTGGCACGCAATCAAATGGATTATTTGAAATGGCATTCTTAAAGGACAATATTGGTGCCAATCATTATCACATATGTGATAGAGCTGGTTAAACACATTCCAAATATAATTTTAACACAGAGATCATTGCTACGATAGCTGAGTAATACAGGTTTCCTGAATCGGAAGTGACGGACGCCAAAGGAAAACACGAGTCCTACCTCTATATAACTGACTGATGTGACGAGTGATAACAGATACACGGCCGAATTTCTGCTCACTAATGATTCCTTCCAAGACCAAAAGTTTTTATATGGGACTGTGTAAGGATACCTGACAATTCAATAAAGTAATTGAATGTCATTAGATAAGAGAACACGAGAAAAATAGAAATAGTCCGTAAATTCCCTTGTTTATATTCATTCTATACCTTATAAAAACATGGTAATGCACGGACTTTTTCTGTTTTTCTTTCGTGTTCTCTTATCTAGTGGCAGTCAATTCTTTTTATGAATTGTCAGATATCCTCTCACAGTCTCACACAACAACTTTTGGTCTTGGAAGGAATTATTAGTGAGCAGAAATTCGGCCCTGTATCTGTTATCACTCGTCACATCAGTCAGTTAAATAGAGGTATGACTCGTGTTTTCCTTTGGCGTTCGTCACTTCCGATTCAGGAAACCTGTATTATTCAGCTATCGTAGCAATGATCTCTGTGTTAAAATTATATTTGGAACGTGTTTAATTAGTTCTATCACATATGTGATAATGACTGACACCAATATTGTCGTTTAAATTAATTTCATGGGCGTCATCATCTTGTTTTAGGACGAGTTGCCTCCCTTAGACGCTGTTTATGATAATGTAAAAGACCGGATAATCTAGCCAATGACCTATTATTCTCAAATGTTGCCAACGCATCCAGACTAATTTTCGTAGAATATTTTTTATGATGATAGACTAATGGTTTACCAAGGTTGTGGCACCCTCTAGACCGGGAGCCCAGGGGGCCAACCTAGCTGAAAGTGTACCACTTTTTTCCTATATGTTATCAATGCATGTATATCTGGTATCATCAGAATGTAAGTCTGCCGGGTTTCCAGTGGTGGGTGTGGTATTCCACGCCCAAAATGCCATGCACCCCAACTAGGCTAGATTAGCTCAAAAGTGTACCACATGAAAATCGTACAGCAGTGTACCGTACATCTTCAGGTGTTACAAAAACACTCTAACAGACATTTCTAGTGGCGGGTTACCCCTGACAGAGCTATGTAATTGTCAGACATTTGTAGTGGTAGAGTATCCCTGACAAGAGTTATCTAGCTAGGCTAGATTAGCTGAAATCTGTACCACCTACAACAGCTTTAGAGTTGTTCAGTACCACCACAGGAATCATGAATGACCACTGCCAGACAGTTTGTGCGGTGGGTTACCCCTTATAGACACGCCCCAAAATGCCACGCCCCCAACTAGGCTAGATTAGCAGGCACTGTTCCCGTGTTCTAAAAAATTAAATATTTAGTCAGGATGCGTAGAATACTAATACCTAGCACGTATGGAAGAGGCGATAAACTGCTGTTACAAGAAATTGATTTTTGGGCATAAAACGTTTTATGGGGCTAAAAATGCAATCTTGAAAAAAAGAATTGTTCCTGATACCGCAGAGTATCGCCCCTTCCATACGTGCTAGGTATTAGTATTTTACGCACCCTGGCACAATTTCTAATCTTTTGGACCACGGGAACAGTGGCGGTTAATCTATCGTAGTGGGGGGGGGGGGCATTTTAGGCGTGTCTGTTAGGGGTAACCCACCGCACAAACTGTCTGGCAGTGGTCATTCATGATTCCTGTAGTAGTACTGAACAACTCCAAAACTGTTTTAGGTGGTACAGGTTTCAGCTAATCTAGCCTAGCTGCGGTCTGGAAATTAGAAAACTCTTGTCAGGGATACTCTACCACTACAAATGTCTGACAATTACATAGCTCTGTCAGGGGTAACCCACTACTAGAAATGTCTGTTAGAGTGTTTTTGTAACACCTGAAGATGTACGGTACACTGCTGTAAGATTTTCGTGTGGTACACTTTTGAGCAAATCTAGCCTAGTTGGGGTGCATGGCATTTTGGGCGTGGAATACCACACCCACCACCAGAAACCCGGCAGACTTAAATTCTGATGATACTCGATATACATGCATTGATATCATATAGGAGAAAATTGGTACACTTTCAGCTAGGTTAACCCCCTGGGCTCCCGCTCTACTCTAGAGGTCTCAATTTTAATCAGATTTTGTTGAAACTTGAATATCTATAACCCAAAGATCTTGGTTCCTTTCTAGAGGTCACAATTTTTATCCGATTTTGAAAACCGTTTAAATATATCAGCGTTACACATCAATGAAAGTTGAGTTCGAATTTCGTAAAATTCTGACCGAAACTTCCAGACAAAATGGCCGCTCCTTGTACGCAAATAGTGTAATAGTATGTAATACCAAGGTTGTGGACCCTCTAGAAGTCACAATTATTATCAGATTTTGATGAAACTTAAAATATATGTTTATGTCCCAAAGATCTCGATTCCTTTCGCTACTTGCGCATATCAGAGTGTAACTTCCTGGATTATGGCCCCCGATTGAACGATTCTTGTGGATTCTCTAGTGGTCACAATTTTTTTTTTATCCGATTTTAAAGACCGTTTAAATATATCGCCATTCCATCATAATGAAGGTTGAATTCGAATAATATTGTGAGTATTCAACATTGAAAAATTATTGACAATAAAGTTGATCGTGTATGGGCCGCTTAACTTTCTGTTGTGCTCAATGTTTGTTACATTCTAGGACATCATCACAGAAACCCCATACTACCCGCTGTGTTTCGTTTGATTAGAGCTAATCCCACTAAACACTGCTTTAATGGAAGCAAATTTATGTTCCAAATTATGACCTGTCAATAGTCCGATTAAAAACCAATAGCTAACTGCGTTACAATACCATTACGCTTTAAACAAAGCTCCAAATTGGACCAAGTAATGTTTACACAACGTTACGTCATGACTCACGATTTTATTATGCCCGATTAACCAGTGAATTGCAGAAAAACTAATTGCGTGACAAACGAGGCTATCAACACATAAACAATACTGTATGGAGATGAACAAGACTTTCGCCGTTTTTAATACCTTAAATCACTGTCCAAAGTTTTAGGGAAGACCCCAGATTAAACGAAGGGCTGTCAATGATGCTGTACTTGGGATAGATTTGATTAAACGGGAAGAATAGACACATCTCTCAAAAGCTCAGGTATCAGAAGCCAATCCAGCAATGGCCAGAGAGGAATTTCTCGGGTCATTGCTTCAGGAATATGTAGAAACCCTGTAATTGGGTATTATTAGACGTTTTTCCCGCGTCATTCCATCGATGCTTTATATGTAATTATATTACGTTTAGTTAGTGTCCATATTTTCAGAGCACACTGTTCAATACCCTTGTCCATGCATGATGTCAAGGATTAAAAGAAAATGGGTGACTGCAATGTTCTTTACAGATATTATAAAACACACACACACACACACAACAGACAGAATAATTTCTTTATTCGATGATTTAATCGGAATATGTTTTACAAACACAACAAAATACAGTATAACCATTTTGCATTTAAATGGACGTTAGATTTATCACTATGAAAGTTTGGGATTTTAACACAAACAGGGCAAATGCTCAACCATAATTTCAATATGGATTTAGAGTAGCGGATATTGAATGCAAAAATAGGGAATTTGAATTATTTGGAGATGGTTTACAAGCCACATCTTAAGCTGTAGATTTTAATAACTTTGTTAATATGAGACATTATTTACATCTGAAAATAATATAATTGTGAACGTTATTTTTAGACGAGGATGGGGGGTGTACAAATAGACATTTATTATTGGATATGTAATCAAGTCTAATACTGAGCTAAAAACGGCGACAACATATGATCCACGAAACTATATGCTTAGCATGAAATATGAAATGGTGATTAAAGGAGATTTACATGTATATTAAATTGTTAGTAGTTAGATATATTATATCACAACCTCTGGTAAAATTAAACTTGTATATGTTATAGGCGACGTTGAGGGTTGATCCCTATTGTGCTGTTGATGTATAGGACCCAAAAACACGGGATGCTATCCTCAAGTTGGCACAAAACATAAACGGATTTCGTTCATTGTCAACATTAATAAATTAAAATATATCCAGAAAAGTGTTACTTCCCCTTCGTACATAAAACGAACAAAGAACCTGCAGGATCCTAAACTGTTAGTTATTTAATCCTGAATCTTAACCTTAATCTACATGAAAGACAATAGCAAAACCTTATAAATATTGTCAAGTCATGAAATGATCATCGTTTTGTGTGATTCCTACTGTCAGCCATCTTGGCTCTCGTCCATTATCAATATTAATAAATTCAAGAAGAGCGTACCCCCGAAACTAAAATGATCAAAGAAGTTAGTTATTTGATCCAGTTTCTTACAACACAATCTAATATATATATAATAAAATTCGGACCCTATCACCACACAAAGGTTGATAAAAGGCATGATATGTTCACCTGGTTTGATTACTACAGTCAAACGTTTTGGCCGTCGTACAACAGACATCTAAATTCTTCGTGGGGTTTTGTTTTTATTGTAGATTTAGCAAATTTAAGGCCATGAGTTTCTATACGTTCTCATGATCAAGTCGAAATAAAACAAACAAACCCAAACGTTCCCGTGGTCTTGTAATAACAATCGATTGATTAAAAATGAGAATATGGTATTCCCAAGAATTGTCCTTGCCCCAGAATATTTTCTATAAAGTAATAATACATATTATATCCAATAACAAATTATGCTTGTCGTTATATACTTGTGTCTAATTTGCTAGATTTTGAAACTAACCAAACAGTAAAGCAAGTTATTCCTCTGTATTTTATTGATAACGAAGGTTTGATTCGGTAACAGGTATTTCTCACTAGCCGGGGCAACTCCATACAACTTTGTGTTGAAACGCCCTTATATTTCCCCCGAGAATAGAGCAAGAGTCACTTTCTTATTTTTACAAGATCACGTATCACTTTCTTTCAGAAGCTTTGGGCAATTCTTTAAGTTAATTAGACCTTCAACTAAGGCATATTATCGTCAATAAAAACATTAAATCTTAACGGGGTATAAAAGAATAACAAGTTTCAAAAGGAAATGGACATTTGGGAAATCTGATAAATGGATTATCCCAGTCTGTGGTCTAACGACAAGAGGTCACCGGTAACACTTAAGTAAATAGGTAGATCTCAATTTTGAAAGTTTTGTTTATCATCTATGGAATATAGAAATTTTAAGTTCGTTCCACGTAATCGTTTTTGGGTGATTTGGTCAAACTCCTCATTTTGTGAAACTGTAAACCAATTTTTCCAATCACCGACAATACCTGGAACAGAAGAAATATACCCAATATATAATAGCTCATAATAAGGAGCGTATGATTTGATTGGCAAATGGTAAGATTGAATACTCTACTATTATATTTTTTATCCCGTAGTCAGGTCTGCATTTTCACTGGGGGTAAAACAGCAAAGGAGTCCAACTTAACAAATAGTCAGTAACATGACCCAACAACTAATAGGATAAAATCAAATAGTTACCTTTCCTAAATATAAAGTTGTTACCATCTTCAGATGTGTGTAAAGGATATTGTTCTTTCAACTTCTGGTCGTTTGCTCTCATATTTTCCAGCTTACATTTTTCAGTTATTTCTTCGAATAAATCATTATTATAATTAAACCCTAGAAACTCAGACATTCTTTTAATCTGATAACTACAGTTCTGCAATATAAATAAAAAAGGCGCTTTATATTTCATGTTTATAATAATATTAATATCTTTGTTCAAGTAATTTGTGGTCAAAAGCCAATGGTACAAAATGTATACAATATAAAAAACTCACATAGTTAATCAGTATAAACGGAGAAATCAAAGAACCCACATTACAGGCAGGAAAAATATACAATCTTACATTTACGTAGATTATATTGATAGTAATTCGTCCCTTATTTCCGTACATTTTTGATATACACAAAGATTCTTAATATCATTTTCGATTTTTATACGCCCACATTTTCACGTGGACGTATATTTTCGTCGCCTCTGTCCGTCCGTCCACAATTGTTTGTGAACAGTCTACAGGTCACAATTTTTATCCGATTTCAATGAAACTTGAAACATATGTTTATCACCCTAAGATCTCGGTTCCTTTCGATATTGGCATGTATCGGACTGTAACTTCATGGATTATGGCCCCTGATTGTACGAAAAATCACGTTTTTAGCTTGTGAACACTGTAGAGGTCACAATTTTTATCCAATTTGGTTTAAACTTGAAATCTATGCTTATAACCCAAAGATCTCGGTTCCTTTCGATATTCGTGCATATCGGAACGTAACTTCCTGAATTATGGCCCCTGGTTGTACGAAAAATCGCGTTTTTAGCTTGTGGACCCTATAGAGGTCATAATTTTTATCCGATTTAAAAATCCGTATTATTATATCACCGTTTCACCCTAAGGACGACTGAGTTCGAATTTCGTGAAAATCGGCCCAAAACTGACAGACAAAATGGCCGCCCTTCTTTCTCAAATAGCGTAAAAATATGGTATATCAAGGTTGTGGACCCTATAGAGGTCACAATTTTTATCCGATTTTGTTGAAACTTAAAATGTAAGTCTATAACCCAAAGATCTCGGTTCCTTACGATATTTGCGCATATCGAATTGTAATTTCCAGAATTATGGCCCTTGATTGTAGGAAAAATCACTTTCGTTTTAGCTTGTTCTCTATCCATCTCTCGAAAATGTGGGCGTATCCTGCCTGGCAGCCGCTGGTTACATTGGAATAACGACTTCAATTCATTTCGTTTGGCAATATTTCGGAATGAAGTTTATTCTTATATACTATTCAAAAAAAGTAGGGGATATTTGATTTTTAAGTGTTATTAAAGTCACCTAATGAAACTGACGAAGAAACAAATGACAAAATGAAATGAAGTTCACATTCATCGATTTATTCCAAATGATCGTTAGACTAAGTAAGGCACAGACTGACCATTATAAGGGTAAAATGATACCCGGGGTCAAACAGCAAAGTTACCACAGCATCACAACCAAGTCGGTAACGGGTAAATCCTCCTCTGTTTGCCAAACAAGCATTGATCCGACGTGGCATACTCCTAATGAGACGTCTAAGGTCATTTTGGTCCAGATTGTCCCATTCCTGTTGCAACGCAGCAGCAAGTTCTTGAACATTGGCAGGACGTTGTTGACGTTGACGTAACCTCTGTCCAAGCATGTCCCAGACATGCTCGATGGGGGAGAGGTCGGGACTCAGTGCTGGCCAAGGTAATGTGGTGATGTTCTGTTGTTGGAGGTAACCTGTAACGATCCTGGCCCTGTGACATCTTGCGTTGTCATCCTGGAAGATGAAACGGCGGCCATGACGTCGTGCGAACGGCACAACATGGACTGCCAAGATGTTGTCCCGGTAGTACTGGCCTGTAACACGCCCTGCAACAACATGTAAAGCCGTTCTTCCAGCAACAGTGATGCCTCCCCACACCATAACAGAACCACCCCCAAATCGATCATGTCTGATGACGTTAACGTCTTGGAAGCGCTCGTTTCGACGACGCCGCACCCTCCTACGTCTGTCCAAAAAATCAACAGTGAACCTTGACTCATCTGAAAACATCACATTGCTCCAGCGTCGATTATCCCAGTGTTGACGATCCCTACACCAACGACGTCTTGCCTGAATGTGATGATCTCTCAAACAAGGGATCACGCGAGGACGTCGGGCGCGAAGGTGACCCCTATGCAGTCGATTCCGAATCGTCTGGCCACTCACTCTCACACCAGTGTCTGTTTGAAGACGAGCGCTGATCTGATTTGCTGTGATGACACGATTTCTCAAGGCCAAGGTACGGATAAATCGATCCTGGGCTTGAGTTGTCGCCCTTGGTCGACCTGAGCGTGGACTGTCCTGTACAGATTGTGTATCACGGTATCTGGACCATAGCCTGCTTATGACAGACTGAGAAACATTCATTGTCCGCGCCACAACCGCCTGTGTTGTGCCGATCTGTAGCATGCCAAGGGCACGTAACCTTTCATTTTGGGTAAGCCGACGCATATCAAAATTTGTTTTCTGGTCACTAAAACAATTAAACTGATGTTTCCACCCTGGAATTCAATGCCACAATGACTGTAACATTCAAAGTCAGAGTCGTGCAAATCTTGGGTTGGACCCCCATGATGATCCCAAGCATCACCTGCATTCCATGCGGTAGCTATTGGTGCGTTTGGGCGTCACATGTAACTGGGAATGTTTCTTCTGTTAGGTTCTATAGTGACATTTTTCGTAGTCATTTGCATATTTTAGTATTATGCCCGCAAAATCAAATATCCCCTACTTTTTTTGAATAGTATATCTTGCAAGATTGGGCAGACAAGAATGTAATGGTACTCGTTTTCTACACATTCTAAATAACAAAATTTCACATATACGTCTAGGAGCAGGGATGCCTTTTCTACGGCCTAATTCAATGTTAATTTTATGTTTTGAACATCTAACATCCAGGTGATTGAGGTAGATTAATATTTAAGTAATTTTCACATTCAAAATCTGACTTCATGATAGAGTAGAATGCACACTGATGTTTGATTGCCAAGGCTGTAGATTGGTATCACGAAGACGTTGTTTGAGGACAAACATGAAATGTAATATACTACCTAGACTAATCGACACATCCCCAAAACCATACTTATATAAAACATTCTTAACAGACGTGCACGAATTCTTTCTACCCAAGAAGTCTTGTTTAAACTACATTTTATAGCATAATTTTGGTAATCTATTATCAACCATGAGTTACAGTTTAAGAAAATATTTGATAAACCTGCTAGTTAACATACATTCACCAGTAATCATATAATTTGTAGCCCTTTCTCTGGTATATAACAACCATTTGCAAAATATATTTTGTTTACAAACCCAATTTTGTGGTCTTACTTCAAGCCCCCATAGTTCTGATCCATGATATAGAATAGGTGCTACCATGGAACCAAACAATTGAAAACCTGCTTTACAATTTCTAATCCCATATTCAGCCAGATCTTTCTTTAGAGCTTGTTGGGCAAGATGGTACGTCCCATTCTTCGTACAATCTGGGACCATAATCCAGGACGTTACGGTCCGATATGCGCCAATATGGAAAGGAATCGAGATCTTTAGGATATAAACATATGTGTTAAGTTTAACCAAAATCGGATAAAAAAAAACCGTGTGACCTCTAGACTGTCCACAAGCTAAAGACGTGATTTGTCGTACAGTCAGGAGCCATAATCCATGAAGTTACGGTTCCATACGTGCCAATATCGAAAGGAACCGAGGTCTTTGGGATATATATATCTAACGTTTCGGAGAAAATCGGAGAAAAAACTGTAAACTGTAGAGTGTCCACAAACAAAATTTGAACAGAGTGGACCGGGGAGACGACAATATTATACGTCCAATGACAATGTGGGCTATTAAAAAAGGATTGAGTTTTAGAATTATCTCCCTTTAAATTTAGTACATTGTAGGTGTCCATATCAAGAAACTATTATTGCTATTATTACACACAAAAAAGCTGTTTAGGATCTTATTATAATAAACCTGCTTGAGATCTTCATAAAATACTGGTAATATAGGACTATCTGTTGTAGACTCTATCGCTTCTTGCCAGCCCACAATGTGATCAAACCACGAACCACCAGGAACTGAAATTAACGTAATATATATATATAATACTCTTCAAAAAAAGTATTCAGAAACAATACAAAATTGCAGAAATGCACTGCTGTTTTTATTAGAGGTAACCAGTGTATGTTAATAACAGGCCAATTGCCTACACATGAACATAAACAGTTCATATGGGCGGCTTATCTGACGGCCCCATTTCACTCGCAAAGAGATACACCGTCAAAAGTGAAAATGGAAGTTTTTGATTTATGTCTTAATAATGAGTAATTGCTCCACCAATCCCCAGACATTCAGCAATTCGTCGTGGCATACTCCTAATCAACCGTCCAATCACGGTTTGAGGCAATCTGACCCACTCCTCTTGCAGTGCCACGCTAAACGGTAAATCTTATGCAAGAACCGATAGGAAAGCAAACATGGATAGATAAACCAGCACGCGGCAGTTTTCATCAACCCTTCCTTGAAGTGTCAAATTTGACAATGAACCTTTCCCACGTGTATGGCGCTATTGCGTGTCGCATGTGCAGCCCAGTGGTTCTGTTGGGGCGACAAGTTCTTCATCTGTGAACATACTCTCAAAGCATGTCAAGTGTCCATGACTATTTATCATATCACAACCTGCATAGGTATTTGCATTTCAATATCTCCTACTTTTTTTGAAGAATATAGTTTAAAATGGCCTGACGATTCGTTTGATAACGATGAAAGTACTAGCCCAAAATTTAATTTTTAATGTTTTTTCTCTAATACTTGAATATATATACAAGATATTTCAGTAGATGAAAATGTCGAAAAAGAATGTTTTGTTGCAATTGTAAATTTTAATATACAATCATATACGTTTATTCCTAGCTGTGTGTACTTTCAGACTGAAAAGTGATATTATCATTAAAAATTTCTTCTAACAAAAGATCAGGCATGTATATACTTTGCCTGGTTTATGACACCCGCTTCAACATATTTCAAGAACTTTTATCTACTTTGACAGAAGTAAAGATATCCACGCAAAGCATGGAAATACTCCCACGCAGTAGCTATGTCTCTAAAAAAAATATTGGGTGTTGACCAAAAAGAAAGACATAAACTGTTAAAAATCAACAGGGTTCATTCTCTCCGATCCCAATGCTTCACACCAAATTTGAAAATAATACGTAAACAACTATAGCCTCTATCTCAATCACCCGGTTTTCGGAAAAGGGGGCATAATTCTGAGACGGAATGTCGCGGAGGACAGAATTCGAAAAGAATCCATCGCCTCTATCATGTTCACGAGCAAATTGATGACTTACGGGCAGCGCCAAGAAATAATACGCCCACACTGAAATGTGGACGTATAAAAATATATCTCAAGATAAATATACAATTTCCAGCCTGCCCCCCCCTCCCTGTCGGTGGTGCAGGGTTGAGGCCCTGGTTATTTGGAGAGGACGAAAACCGAGGTACCGTGTTGACGATCAGGTGACATTAGGTTATCCGGGTAAATGTCACTTAAAGCACACTAATTGGCTCTAAGCCGGTTGAAAAAAAGTAAGACGTTATACCAAATTTCATTTCATATACAATTGAAGAGGGCATTAAAAGACACGGTTACGTTCGTTCACGAAACTGCTAGGTAGGCCAAATTTTAAGTTACATGTAATATCCGGTTTTAATTTTTACCAAATTTACTACAATGACTATACTTACGCTTTCCCTGAATAAATAGCGAATAAAAACCATTCCATGACCCGTGGTAATCAAAATCTTTTGCACAACGAAGATGGTGGTAAAATGACACGCAAACGTCTTTAGGATTTCTTAAGAGGTATATTATTTTGGCCTTACACACGTTCGGTCTTAACACATAAGGCATTCCATTATAAGGAGCATGGCTATTAAATATCCGAGGTGAAGGAATTTGATCAAATCCTTCTTGTGTTCCGAAACTAAACATGAGCATTTCTTTGGTGGATTGAGTTGGCTCTGCTCTACCTTTCATTAACATAGATAAGATTTCCCAAACCCAATGTGTTCCTGCAAAGTAAAAAAAAAAACTTTTGTGATGAATTTTGTAAAAGTAAAGACACAATGTGTATTGACAATGGAAATGGTTGAACAGACCTCTTTCGATAGAGGTTTATTTACCCAATTTGTTAAAAGCGTGTCCCTTTCATGTTAAAGGAGCTAAATCGCTAACATTTGGGACCTAGAAATTCACAAAAGTGGGTAGCAACGCATATAATACTGTAATATGAATGTATATAAACTGATTTACATTTAATGGTTTCCGTTTTTACTCCAATTTCAAATCAGTTATGTTCGGCGAAATAAGTCAGCAATCTCAACCGAGTGCAAATTTCTAGCGTCTAGTTATTCTAGTCTACATAACTCCATTTGATTTGGTGCAATGTGTCTAGCCTCGTCCCTCAAGTCTCTCAATACAACTGGGGCTGAAGCGCATTATGGTACACGATTCGTGTACCAATGTTAAAAAAATTATTTTATCTCAAATATCGGATATCAGAGGCTCATCTTTTCCCGGTAAGTTTACATCATCAATGTTGATTTAAATTGACCAATAATTCGTGTTTTCGATGTCGAAGATTTTGGAGGATTTTGAGTTACAGACTTAGGTCCTTTAAATGCATGTATCAATACAGTAAAGTAAAGGATAGCCCTACAAAGCGTGGAAATAACCAAATCTGATACGGGGTGCCTTCAATAAATCTGATCTCTGTCCTGTTATCCCAAGGTTTTCGGAAAAGATGAGATAACTCTAGAACGGAAACGCTGAAATTTGATAGGGTTCGTCCTCTCATGACCCCAATGCTTTAAACCAAATTTGGAAACTAATATGTTTTTAAAAAATGTAGCCTCTATCGCGTTCATAAGCTTTTTTGGGGGGGCGGGGAAGGAGGAGTGGAGGTAATTCTGGGACGGAAAACCGCAGAATACTGAAAATCATTGGGATTCACCCTCGCACCCTCCCTTCACAACTACCACAGCCCGTATCGCGGTTACAAGGTTTTCTTTTATAAAAGAGGGATTACTCCGGAACCGAAAGTCGCGGAACGCTGATCGATATCCTCTCAAGATGTCAATGCTTCCCACCAAATTTGAAAATGTGCGCATATTAAAAATGAAATGAAATGAAATGGGTTTTAACGTCCTACTGTATTAAAAATGGATTGCAACAGCAAGTGAACTAGATCTTTAATCGAAAATCTCATTTTCTGTCTGCAATTAAAACATTTTATTACTATATTCATGGCTCCCCAGCTGTAATTATGTTCCGCAAGGACAGTGCAATGACCCCCCCCCCCCCAAAGCGGAGGAAAGAACCCAAAGCTGACAATAGGGTAATGAAATCGGGAAGCTCCCATTACTGTAGCCAAACGCATTGCTGAAATAATAATTCTATATATTATATAGAATTAGAAAATGCGAAATTCAAAATAAGAAACCCGGTAAGCAGCATCCTTACAGGCAGGTGTTCAACACAACCACAAAATAGACATATGTGACAAGTGTGAAGAATATTCATGAAAGAAAAATAAAATATTTCCAAGCTGTTCACCTTATATCATAAATTCCGAATTCTGTGATTCTCCTAAAATGGCCAACGCCAAAAAATAGGGATAATGCGACTTGATGATCGGGATTCCTTTATTTCCCGCGTATTTTTTATTCACAACGAAACGTAGAAATGCCATGTGCTGATAAATGCAATTTCTATTGACTTAATTCATTAAATATTCGCTTAGATGTGTTAATAATTCTACGCTGATGAAATAATAATTATTGTTTGCAATTTTTCGACCAAACTTTGTATTTGTCAAGATGAGGTTTATATACGTCATTATTAATTGAGACAAGGCAGGTAACAGTAAGACAAAAACAGTGAAAACAATTAAGAGCTCTTAATTAATTTTTAAATTAAATATTTTAAATTGATCATTTAACAAAGCAAAAATTATGTGGTGCGCCCTCTCTCATGACGCCCCAAGCATGTGCTTAGTTTGCTTAATGGTTATCCAAGCTCTGCTTACCAGATTTAGCATAACCAGCTAGAATGACGTCATTGGAATTAAATGTTAGATTTAGAACTCGATTGGCCTGTTCTGCCATAACGGGCCATGGTGCTGTGTAGCCTTCATCTACCACCCCTAATTTTATAGTAGACCCTTCACTATCTGGTATTCTCTCAATAGAGAACATAACAATCTGAAATAATAAATACAATGATACAGCAGTGTCTGGGACTATATGTTCAATAAAAGATATGAAATCTTTGAAAACCCCATTTTACCATTGTAATGTTTAAAGGAAATCCTGAAAGCACTTGCTATTTTAAGGTCACTGGTCATCATCAGTTATAAACTACAATATCATTAAAGTTGAATCTCTGAGAGAATATCAGATTAAAAATGGTTGAAATCCGTTCAATATTTCATATGATAAATTTCGCAACATTCGACATGATTTAATTACAACCGACATATTAGCTACCAACTGAAAACATTTTAGCGTGGATTAGGCAGTAAAAATGAGAGTGTCGTAAAACTACAAACGACGAACCTCGGCTTCAAAGCACTGAGTAATGAACCATTTTCACACTCTTAATATTATAAAATGACCCAAAGTTCCATCTCATAATCATGATTCTCCATCAGCAATCGTTTTATAGCAGAAATGTATACATGTGCCAACGAATATTTGAGGTGTTGTATAAAGTCAGCTATTAATCTCATTTCATCTAATTATTACTTTTACTATCGTAGATTCCTAGTTCATTAAGACTTCAATTTGGAAATAATTATTAACCGATGGTACCAAGTCAAATTCTACAGTTTCATTCACTACTACAGACTAGATATTTGGATACATTATGGTAGCCATAGTTTCCTGGACTACTATTTATAGTAGCGGGTCTCAAGGCACCACCATACGCATGTTTTACTCTTCTTTTTCCCCATTGTGTAGCAATAATTTTCTTTTAAAATGGTTAATGTGTTGTGTACGCATTGAAAAATATATTTTAGAAGCTTCGACTTTCATTCCAAATATTCTCTCTATTATTGGAATGACCACTCAAAAAAATATTCACTATGTCTTCTTTAATACTGAGTTTAATTTATTCATTACCCGAGCGTGAACCTCTGCTGGCAATAACAAGTTTTAAACAAATCTATCGCTCAAGATTGGTAAGTGTGTCAGGCAAGGTATAAATGGCAAGTTGCCACAGATAATAGTATTGTTTTACTTTTGTCAATTTTTACCAAAATGTTATACAATACTAAGCGATCCATCAATATGAATGATAATCCATATTTCGAATTTAAGTTATCAATCGTCATTTATGAACTTGACAACTGGCACCAACCTTTAATATTGTACTTGCTACTGACCTTTTTGATAAGTGATAAGGCAACCTCGTTGCGATTGAATTTTTAAAGCAGTAATCTTAGTGAGCAAGTTCCTCCACTGTCTTAACTACTCTACAAAAGTACAGCTTTTAATTCAGAAAGATGTTTTCCAGGCTTATTAATTCAAAATGTTAGATCGACACTAATTAAAGATATATCGTTCATTAAAACCAAATAATTATTTCCAGAATTCTATCTTAATTGGGCCAACTTTCGGTATTTATTGGCTTTATTATTAGTCCCATCTGGTTTCAACAGAATCGACAAATGGTTCTTACATACACCTTACGGGCATTGAACCGCCACACTATAAACACAGATGGCAATTATATGGGCCAGTTTTAAAGAAACGATATGGCGGATTACGGTAGTTCTTTTATTATTTTTTTTATCCTGCTCTCCAATACAGAATTGCCAGGTTTAAAAAAGTGCATGTCAAATAATATTCTGGATATTTTGAATGGGTGTCGTTTAGTCCATGGGTTTTTAGATGGAAAGCGAGATTTCGGATCGTTCGACTATCGAAAACATTATCGTAACCATTGTGAACGGAAACTTGTGTACTCTACTTCCTTTGTATATTTTGATAGATTAAATTAAACAAACCTTTTTTTAAAATAATAACCATTTGTCTTCTTTGTGGGTCTTATTCAGTAAACAAAATAACCAGAAATTTGAATTTCCCATCAAGTACAGGTACTAAACCCTAGTGGCTAAAAAGGTCGGATATTTAAATAAAAATTTTTATGTAACATTAATAATGTGTGCTAAATGGTTCAATTTTGTTCAGTATTTACAAAGATATGCGGAATTGAAATTTTATCGATCTATGCTGCTCTTTATGCAATAAGCCCGCCGCCATTTGGTTGTCCACGAAAATTTAATGATAGACCCGTTTTAAATCCAAATGAGTCCGAGACCAATCTGATTAAAATACAGATCTATATTTTTCGTTTCTTTTTTTTTTTACTTTCGATGTTCTACATTACATGAAGATCTGACCGGTTGTAGCAATAGGTCGCGTCAGAGGTCTTACGAGCGGCTTTTGGCCCTATGACGCCAGACATTTGATTAACCAATCAGCATTGATGTATCTAGTGGATTACCCACAGTACCGGGCAAAACACGCCTAAAGCTCGCCGTAACAGACCGTTTCATTGGCTAATCCTAACATTATCCAGAGCACGTCAATGATAACAACTTTTCCAGATCCTAGTGTAGTAAAGACAAGTAAAACGAAACGAAATATGATCTGTGTTTTAATCAGATTGGTCCAAGCCTGGACATTATCTAGCGTTGATATATTGATTCCTTAATTAAATATTAAATAAAAAAATTCAGTACCTATTAACGTGGATTAAGAAATTAGAAATTCGATATTTTATCGACAAATGTCAATGGAGCTTCGTTACTTTAATGGGGGTGTTTATGAAAAAAATATACAACACTTTAAATGGCGTATAGCTCTATTCCTTGGAACCTTAAAATAGTCTAAAAGCACATATTAATACAATATGAATGTATATTAAGTGATTTATATTCAATTTTTTTAATAAAGTATTGTTATTTCTAATCAATAATGTTCAGTGAAGTAAATGAACAGTCCAAACTGAACGACAATGGTTTTCGTCTTAGTCCATTTTACACGTTTGTTTTATTATTATTTTGTCGTTTTTGAATCGGCCATTACTTATTACTTCAGCAATGTCTTGTAGGATATGTTTTTCTTTCTTTATTGCAAATGGTACCGAAGCCATAGAATACACGACTCGTGTACTGATTATAACATGTTCATTGTGTCTTAAATATTGGATATTAGGAACCTATAGTGTCACGGCAAGATAACAACACCAATATTGATTGGGATGGAGAAATATTGAATTCTAATTCGTGTTTTTAATTTCAAATATTATGGAAAATATAGAGTTAGAGATTTAGCCCCTTTAAAACAAAATAATGGTGCCGAATGGCAAACTATATGAAATAATAATTATTGTATTTTATGCTAATACACAATATTATAGGTAAAGTATGAAACGCCAAAATAACACAATTTTGCTATAGACATCCGATTTTTATACTTGTTCTTATATATTATATAAGCATCAAACCAGAAACATTATAAATATTATATACAATGTATGTCATAAATATTGTACATAATTCGCATTTATAACATTGGTTTCGTTCTGTTATACTTTAATATTAAAATTTAACAGCCATTATAATATAATTTGATTAACACCGGGTCTGTATTACAATTTCAATTATTCATTATGAATTCGTTTACTCTATTATTTATTCATAGGCAAATATTCATAAAAGATGCATGTATAAGCTAAATCTACCTATTGCGGGTCTTTTTTTTTGGCTTCAAATGATATATAAAACATTTAATTACATGGCAAGCCCGTAATCAACCCTATAAACCATCGGATGGCTTAGATGTTGAGTGGATTAGACAATATCTGCCATATGCTCAGTAAACGATATGACCGCCACTAACGTAGATTGTCGTTTGAAGAACTGAATATCCAGACCTCGTTTGTTATCGTGCCAATGTGGACATGACAACCGAGAATATGAATCGTCAATCGGCAATCGGCGGAGACAGTTTAGGCTATATCTTGCCAAAACTTCGCTCAGAATAAAGTATTATGCCCGAAATTTTCAATATATTCATGTTTTATTATCTATGTCTGAACTGTTATAGCTCTTTATCTAAAATGCATCTTTAACAGATTATTACATTTGTCCCTACTTTACAGAATAATCAGAAAGATTACAATATAAATTCAAGTATTACCTATTCGATATTCTATCAATTCACATTCCTGTTACACATATCCAGAATTAACCGCTACAATTATCCATTTAATCGACAAGTAAGAAAAACGCGAATAGTGTACTATCAGAACAAGTACGCAGCTACGAGGTAATCTCTGTCTCAGTCAGTATCAACACTTCTTATATCGACCTAGTTGTTATCTACGCACGTATACACAGTAGATCTTTAACAGTCAATGGAACACAAACTAGATATGTAAAAATAGATAGATGTAAACTTTCCGAATCGTAAATAGAATCAACCTATTAAACGTTTCTAATAACACTAACAGATAACTCTGCTGTTTTATCACATAGCTTATCCTATTCACACAGGTTTGCCTGCATTATATGTCAACGTTTATTGACACTCTCGCGTCTTATCTACTTGGACGCTCTCTTTTTTCTCTTTTTGAACAATGATTTGACAAGTAAGATATAATAGGCTGACTGACCTCCATATCAGTCAAGAAGATATTACGTAATCAAATTGATTCCTAGAAATGACGACAAGGTTAAATAAAGTGCTAAGGCCTATCCATATAAATCTGAAATAATTTTCTCTTCATTAAGCAATTTAAATGAGCAGATATTTAGCCATCTATATATCATTACATTGCACTTGATTTGAACTACTTAGTTGAACCTATCACTAAGTCAAAAAACGTATTAATATTGCTTACTGGTAATGAGAAATGTCAATGACAGCTCTAGTGGGAAATGATATTTGTTATTTCAATAGGTTTCTAGAAGTACAACGTAAAAAAAGAATATTGTAGACCAATGCGAAAAATCGCTCAGACTTGCTAACGAGTGTGACACTTAATGAACTGTTAATGAGGCACGTTCGATAAGTTCATTAAAAGACAAACTGTCACTGTTAAGCTACAAAAAGAAAGGAACGGCCATTGTTATTCTTATCATATCTTTAATGATCAATCCACTTTAAGGCCACGTAACGGAAGATCACATTTATTCCATTAGCTTTTCAAACCTGTCGTAATCAACTTGGTTAGGTCGTGTTGGTTATGGGTCGACTTCTGGAAGTTAATGTTTAAATGAGCTAAATCGCTAATATTTGGGACCTAGAAATTGGCAAAAGTGGGTCGCAACGCATATAATACTGTAATATGAATGTATATAAACTGATTTAGATTCAATGGTTTCCGATTTTACTCCAATTTCAAATCAGTTATGTTCGGCGAAATAAGCCAGCAGTCTCAAGCGAGTGCAAATTTCTAGCGTCTGGTTATTCCAGTCTACATACGCCGTTTGATTTGGTGCAATGTGTCTAGCCTCGTCCCTCGAGTCTCTTGATACAACTGGGGCTGAAGTGCATTATGGTACACGATTCGTGTACCAATGATAAAATGTTTATTTTGTCTTAAATATTGGATATCAAAAGCCCACCTTTTTACGGTAAGATCACAACATGAATGTTGATTTAATTCGACAAATAAATCGTGTTTTCAATGTTGAAGATTTTGGATGATATTGAGTTAGAGACTTAGCTACTTTAAACTGGTTACGGGATTATTTGGTGAGAAAATTAAAGAGTTACGGTTCCTTCCGAGTGCGAGGTCTGATATACATTTGAAACTAGGACATCATAAATGCACTTTTATTCTACAACTACATAGTTTCCAGCTTCAATCATTACCATAAATAATCAAAGTCATGTTTTATAATCAACCTAAACGCCTAGAACATCGTTGCCGTCCGCGCTGCTTTAGTAAGTACACAGAAAGACCACCAAATATGTTCCTATTGATTTTAATGTTAACTCTTGTCTCTAACATTCCCTACGTGACAAGCAGTAGGGTCGCCTGTCCACCCTCGTGGGTTTTCTCCGGGTCCTCCGGTTCCAAATAAATTCCAAATCAAAAAACAAATAAATCACATACACTAAAAAGCAAGGTCCTGGCATTTTCAATAGTAGTTTTAAATTTATTTTGATAAAACAAATAATAAAAGAAAAAAATAACGACCCCTGTTCTATATGGAATTTTCAACACAAATAATACTGATCACTCTTGAAACATGCTTCAGGTATATGATGTATGTCCACGCAAGGGATTACAAATCTACAAGGACACGCTTAAGTACAGATTAAAATATCACTCCCACTTGTAGAATGACAGATGTAGAGGATTAAAGTCATCACTATCAAGAAACATCATGTGGAGATTTGTCTTCCTCCGATTGTTTTTCAGTTTCATATTCAGTAGTTTTTATTTCCTAAATAATTATTATTCGGCTCAGATGGTGGCACAAAAAAGTTGTTTTTCCCATTAACGGCATGGTAAACTCATTAACGTTAACGAACGGGTCATAAAGCGTAGTACTATTGCTTACGCTATTTCTGGTAAAATATATCGATTTCAATATATTAATGGCAGATCGTAATATAAAACAAGCTCCAATAATAAACAAACATCTCCAATAGAAAGTACAAAATTAAAGATTACTTACAGTTCGAATTGAGAAATTGTCCTATACAAATGGTCAGAGTAAAATTAAGACAGACTTAAACGAAGAAGTTAATTTCTTGGAAGATAAAATTTAACATACCTTTTACCAAAGTTTCGTCGCAAATTTATCTGATTTCTAGACAATTAACGTAGTATACTTTTTACGACAATTCTGTCGCCAGTCCTGCTACGAAAGTATTTAATCAAACAAACAGGTCTTATATTAATAGTCATACGTTTAATTATGCGAGTTCATTCTTCATACGATTAAATTACGTGAATCATGTTAATTTTCAGACATATTTAGTTTCCGGGTGTTTTTAGCAGAGAAAAACAAGAGCAATGCTCGCTTCCCCTATATCCCAGGGCATCATTTATGCCAAAACGTAATCACCACGTAGCCAAAACTGTTTTAATGACAACGAACGGAAGCTATTGCCTGAGGTCACATCCAATTTGTAAAACAGATCTGTTTTTATTATGTAATATGATGAGTCGACGATTAGAGTCCTTGACATAACTACTAGGAATCATTTAACGAGGAATCAGATTGTACTTCACTCGTTTACTTAATTCACCCAACCCAACCCAACTCACCTGAATTTGTATTGTTTTGTTAATATCTGCAGTGTGCGCGAAGCCAATAGATGACCAAGTTTTAAAAGATTTTTTTACACCCAAACCTTTACTGGTACCGTAACATCTAAAACATAGAGTCAAAATCCTTATATATTTTTATATGCCTACATGTCGGGATACTAGGCGTTAAACACTTATCTTAGAGGACACGTATCTATGGTGTCAGCAGAGACAAGTGTATGGTATCGAATGAAATGATATTATCCAATATCAGGAGTTCGAACATTTATATTGGTCACGTTTTCATGACAGCATCAAGCAGTCTTGATTGTTTTACCAAAACCAATTGAGGAAGACAATTGTTTCAGTAGGTAGTTCTATACAGACACACCCAATATGCTGATATGAAGGTACCTGGTGGTCGAATAACCTCAGAGGAAATCGTGTTTAAATCTGTAAATATAGACCATTGAAAATAGAATTCAAATCCAAATATTTTACAAAAGAATTAGTAATGCCTGAATGAAATGCGTCTTTCGTCAAACGAAATATTGATCATGTAATATACAGTTCGATTAAAACCGAATTTTATACTACAGATGCTAGATAATATGGCGTATCAAAACCATAGCAGATTCAAATGGCAGTTCTTTCTATAATAATAGTTCAAAAATAGACAATGAAAAATTAATGTATTTTGAGTTATAAGTTTTTGAGGTTTTCATAATATTGTATCGATTGTCAAGTACCATTGCTACGATAATTAATAAAGGCCCAATTATCCATGTTATATTAAAGTATGATATGGCGATCGCGTTTTAATCTATTCACAATCACGGCCATTCGACGGTCTATCTATGGGGTTGATTATGGGCTTGCCACGTGAATCAATGCCTAAATAACAATTAAAAAGGCAATATGGGAGATTAGATGAGGAGGTGGCAGTTCTCACTATAATAGTTAAAAAATAATTTAAAGGGAATATGCTGAACATTTCATTACTAAAGTCGGTACAATAAAAACATAGTCTCGATTATCCAATTTTGGATTGAATCATCAATGAGCGTTGAGCAGCAGATCGGATTCAAATCCAGTAAATATCGCAGGCTAGCGATGACATCGAGAGTTGATTAATGGTTTGGATAAGCTAATTAATGCCTAATTAATAATTTAGATAACACTTGCGATAGGCAGATTTAGGTCTTGCGTAATGTATGTTTAATATAACATTTGAAGTCAAAAGAGATCTGCAATGGGCAGATTTAGCTCTTGCAAAATGCATCTTTAATTTACTGAACCAATTACAATATGTCTACATATCTTAATGTGTCAGGTCTATTATAAGACAAAAAACAAAGCGAAATTGATAGTCATATGGCTATGGAGGAACAAACAGCTCATTATTCAGTTATCTTAGTTCTTAGTTCATAGTTCTTAATTCTTATTTCTTCATTTGTTGTCGTATTTCGACATTTGTACACCGAAATTAACATTTGTATCTGAAAATAAATATTTGTTTTACAAATCAGACATTTGTCATATCAGATTTGTAAAATGTATTTTTGTTTAATTTAATTTTATTTTAATATAAAGATAAAATTTATTTTAGTAAATCAAAAAAAATAATCTACATTTACATTTCATCATAGACATACAACGAAAAACAAATCTCGAACAACAAATTTCTAAATACAAACATAATATTCCGGTTCGATGGATTTCGAGAAATGTTTTGGGAGAAATGTTATAGAAGAAATGTATTTGGAGAAATATTTTGCAAGATTTGTATTTGGAGATTTGTATTTAGAAATTTGTTGTTCCAGATTTGTTTTTCGTTGTATTTCTCTAATGAAATGTAAATGTAGGCTAATTTTGAAATACAATTAAAATACATTTTACAAATATGACAAATGTCTGATTTGTAAAACAAATATTGATTTTAAGATACAAATGTTAATTTTAGTATACAAATGTCGAAATACGACAACAAATGAAGAAATAAGAATTAAGGACTATGAATTAAGAAATAAGGACTAAGAACACTGAATAAAGTGCCGTTTGGTCTTCCATATATTACACGTTAGCCTATTATACCAAAAATAGATGGTCAGTAGGCGTTCGAAGTATAGTGAAGAAACCTATCAGGATGTCACATTGTTTCTTCAACCGTTAAAGACGAACGAGAAAGTTGCTGACGTATGCATTATTAGCAGAGAAAAGGACATGTTTTAAGCTTACATACAAATATTTTTGTGACAATATCAATTACAACAAGAAGGACGAGACTTGAATTTATATTTCCCACCAGCTTTTGGAGAATATTCATGATTTTGACGCGGGGGGCTCATGGGGAAAACAGACATTTAATAGAGAAATCGCCTATTAATGAAGTCATGGCTTATAAATTATATTTACCTCGCGTAGAGACGGTTCGTTTCAGATTGCTATTGAGAGTCATAGTGGCTAAAAGAGTAAGACGCTGACTCGCTCCCGGTGTTGG